ACGCTTTTAATCCCAGCACTCGGGAGGCAGAGGCAGGCCTGGTCTCCAAAACAAGTTCTAGGAAAGGCGCAAAGCTACACAGAGAATCCCTGTATCAAAAAAAAAAAAAAAAGGAAGAAGAAGAAGAGTGGGTGTGATATAGTCGTCCCTTGTTTGTTTTTTGTTTGCTTTTCAGTTTATTGAGACAGGATTTCTCTGTGTAACAGCCCTGGCTGTCCTGGAACTCACTTTGTAGACTAGGCTGGACTAAGAGATGTGCCTGCCTCTGCCTCCTGAGTGCTGGGTTTAAAAGTATTTGCCACTACACCCCACCATAAGGTTGTCTTTAAAAAAAAAAAAAGTTCAATGGTGGCCCACACCTTAAATCCCAGCACTTAGGAGGCAGAGGCAGGTAGATCTCGGAGTTCAAGGCCAGCCTGGGCTACAGAGTGAGTTCCAAGACAGCAGGAGCTATGCAGAGAAACCTGTCTGAAAAAACAAACAAACAAAAGAGTCTGCTGCACATTCTGTACTATTTATTTAAAAATATAAACAAGACAAACATGCATCCACAGAATCAAAAGTAAAAGCAATAAGCACTGAGGCTATCAGATAGTTCTCTTATTTAAGTAATTTTGATAATTATACTATTTCTAGCTGATTTAGAGCCTGTCTGACTCAACATTATTCAAAGTTAAGGACCATTCAAGTTCTGATTATGTTCCGTACATTTTTTTTTCTCTCTGACCTCTAGGTGGCAACCACTCCAAGCCTTGTGACAAGCAGTACGGCAACTCCCCTCACAGTCAACCCTGTCCTTCCCTTAACCAGCGCTGCAGTGACTAATCTCTCTCTTACAGGTAAGCAAGAACAGTTTGCAAGCTAGTAAGCAGCAAGCCTGCCAGATCATGAGGTGCTGCCTTAAGTTAGGAATTGCTTTTGTAAAATACATTTCAGGGTCTAGGGAGAGTGCTCAGTGGACATGAAGACTGGAGTTCAGATTAAGTGCACACTTCAAAGTCAAGTGGCTTAGGAGCCCTTCCATAACCCCAGTGCTGGGGAAACAGGGAAGGGGGTTCCCCAGAACAAGCTGATAACAGGCTAGCCACATGTTCCAGATTCAGTGAGAGACCCTGCCTTGGCAAAGTAGAGAGCAACCAAGGACAACACCATGCGTCAATTTCAGGCCTCCACATGCACCTTCCCACATACATGCAAACACATATGCTATAGCGCTCCCTCTCCGTGTGTGTGTGTGTGTGTGTGTGTGTGTGTGTGTGTAAAACTGACCCTGAGCTGGGCATAGTAGTGTACTTTTTTGTTTTGAAGACTGGGCCCTGGCTGTCCTGGAACTCACTCTAAAGTCCAGTCTGTCCTTGAACTCAGATCCCACCTACTTCTATCTCCTGAGTGCTGGGATTAAAGGCATGCACCAGGCCAGCTTTAAAAAAAAAAAAAAAAAAAATTCTTCTTTCTTCTATTAGTTCATCTCCTACATGGTTTCCAAATTTACAACATCCTTTATTCAAGTGATGCTTTCACAAACCTTCAGTAGTAATAGTTTTTTACATTCAGAGAAACATACAAATTCATCAGTTGTATTAAGTACTTCTATGCTAGACCTTTGCCCACCCCTCCCAACACATGGGCAAACTCCATCCATAGCATTATAAATATTTCCTGCCTCTTGAAATGTCCCTCATAGTCCTCAGTTCTTGGTCTGATACTCAGCTCTTGGTGGGTTATTGATAAGCTACTCTGGCTTATATATCAGTTCCTCTTGGAAATATTCTTTAACTTCTCCTCCGGGGAAGGTCAAGTTGCCATTTACTCACTGTATAATCTATTTTTACAAGTCTATCTTTCCCAATAGCCTTTGTACTTCTTTTTTTTTTTTTTTTTGTTTTTTGAGACAGGGTGTGTTCAAGACAGGATTTCTCTGTATAGCCCTGGCTGGCCTCAGACTCACAGAGATCCACCTGCTTGTGTCTCCTGAGTCTTGGAATTAAAGATGTGTGCCACCAACCCAACGCCTTTGTACTACGTCTAAAGAACTAAATACTGTGTTCTTTCTGATGCCCGGCTTATTGCTTGATATATTCATAATAAGATGAATAAATAATTATTTTCCTTTGGCCTCCTCTGAACAGAAATTTTCCCAAAGCATTTAAAATGATTTAGGATTGTCATCAAAATTTTATGATACATAATGTATAAGCTATGCTAATTATTTATTATATGCTAGTAAGCCTTTGGATTGCTTTATGATATTTCATGAGCAAATTTAACTTAACCTGGAATTGAAGACTTTTTTTTTTTAATTCATGTTTTAGGTTCATAACATCTCTTTAGTTCTGTGACTTTACCATGCTATAAAAATTCAGTAGATGGCTTCATACTGTGTTTCAAAGCCATTAGAAAATGTCAGGTTTTTATATAATGTAAACAGCACTTTGTGACCCCTTGACTGTTAGGCCTCATTGAGAATTTCCTCTCATAAAATAGGCATACACACAGTTTTTAATAACTTGAGAGAAGTTCATAAATTATAACTTCCGGTAGCACCTACCCCTGGCCATTTGTGGCTGCTATAGTAGCCTTAGATTCCAGGTTATCATCCTTTTTGGGTCTGATGAGATGGTTCAATCATTAAAGTGCTTGCCACACAAACATGAGAACCTATGGTCATTCCCCAGAACCTAAGTAAAATTCAGGTCTAGAGATAGAAACACATCCCGGTAATCCCAGGTCTGGGGAGGCAAAGACAAGAAGATCCCTTGGATTCTCTGGTGAGCCAGGCTAGCCAAATTGGCACGCTCCAGATTCAATGAGACTCTCTCAGAATCAAGATAATCAAGATAAAGATACCCAGCATCAACCTCTGGTCCCCTCCAAGTATGTATGCATGCACCCACATATGTATTCAAACACACACAACTTTTAAAAGAGTATAGTATTCAGCACTTCTGCTTAATAAGCGAGCTGTGATTGATTGGCATTAGGTTGACCATCAGTATATGAGGTTCCTGCCTTCTGACTACCAGTCATCCAGAAATTTAAAGCTAAATGTTACCTTCCCAATAAGTTATAAATCATTGAATTATACCTAAGGATACCCGTATTTTGCAGAAAAACCGCCAATGGTTCAGCATTAAAAAGTAAATAGCAAACCCAGGCTTGTAGGCATATATCTATGCTCTTAGCTTCTCAGTTAGTGACATTACTACTGGGGAGACATGAACAAAAGTCTGCTCACCCCGATAGTGAACCAGTGACAGACCAAAGTAAGGTGCCACCAGAGTGCAGCTTGTAGAACCAGTGAGTTTCACTGGAGTTTCTTCAGGACTATGGGTGAGGAGTTAGTTAGAGGAACAGAAATGACTCAAAGTCAGCTGCATTACCAAAAGCCTACCCTGGCATGGGTCACAGCTCACAGAAGCTGGGAATGTGGACTGCACTACACAGCCTCAGAGCTTGACAGGTTGCAGGATGTTCTTTCTGGACAGGTCATTTGGTCTGAGCCTCTTGTGGCAGCTTCTTCCATGCAGCTCAACTTATCACTCTCTCTTTTGGGTGGCTTGGCTGAGTGTCTCTCAGCAAGTTCTTACAGCTTTTATATGATGGGGGAGGGGGGCGCGGTGCGCTAGTGTATCGGATCCATTTCAGGGACTTCTGGAAGCTTTGGGTTGTTTGCTTCCTGAGTTTAAAGAATTTCTCTAGCAGGTGGGATGTTTAAACTCCTTTTAGAAACACCCTGTGTCTTAATGAGCTTCCCTCCCAAATGGAGGTTTATCTCAGAGGAAATTGCTGCACAGTACATTCACACTTCACCAAAGCAGGGATTGTATTTGTTTGTTACCTACCTCAATCTTTCTGTCAGATTTCTTTCTTTTCTTTGAGTAGTTGGTAATGTCACCTCAGGTCATATGCAAGCTCTAGAAGAGAGATGGGCAAGCCCACTGCCGGAGCTAGTGTGTGAGCAGTCCTGTGATCACCTGAGCTAGTGTGTGAGCAGTCCTGTGATCACCTGAGCTAGTGTGTGAGCAGTCCTGTGATCACCTGAGCTAGTGT